CTAAAGTCTTAGAGTTGTATAATTTAAGTGCCTTAGTTTCTCACATGTAAAGTAGGGATAGTAATGGTTTCTTGCCCACAGAAGTACCAAAAGAGTGAAATCATGTAAGGGAAGCACTTGGTCCTTTGGCTTCCACATGTGCAGTCACACAAATATGCATGCATATGCATGCACACACACACACACACACACACGCATAAATATTTTTAAAAAGCAAAACTGGACTCTTACTAATTATGAAAAATCTACTTTAAATATCAAATGAAAGTAATAAAGGATATAAATAAACATTTATATACAGTACAAAGGCTAAACATAAGAAACAGGAAGTGACTGTATTAAAACCAGACAATGCAGACTTCAGATCAGGAGATGACTAGAGATAACAAGATTCACTTCATACTGATAAAGGAGTGGGTTCAAGAAGCCATAAGAATTCTTAATTTAAATGCAACTGAATGGCAATTTCACCATTCTTTCTGAGTACTTAATAAATAAGTACAAAGAAAACTGGCAAAGCTTTGAAGTCTTACATACCACTATCAAAGGACATGTCATAACAGTAACATATCAATTCATCCAGAAGACAAAACAATACTAGATTTTTATTCACTCAATAGCAGAACTCTACAATACATAGAGTAAAAAATTGACACAATCGAGAGGAAACAGTACAAGTATAGGTAAAAATTTCAACCTTCATTTAGCAATTGACAGCTCAAGGATACAAAAGAAATCAGTGAAGATACAGGAGCCTTGAACAACACTATCAACTTATTTGATTTAATTGACACAGAACATTTATTTCACTTGACAGTTGAAGAACACACTTTAAAAAACAGATCTGCCGGGCGGTGGTGGCGCACGCCTTTAATCCCAGCACTCGGGAGGCAGACCAGGCGGATCTCTGTGAGTTCGAGGCCAGCCTGGTCTCCAAAGCGAGTTCCAGGAAAGGTGCAAAGCTACACAGAGAAACCCTGTCTCGAAAAACCAAAAAAAAAAAAAAACAAAAAAAAAAAACAGATCTGTAGCATAGGAGCTACTACCAAAGGAGACTGCAAGAGTCATCAACAGTTCATAGAGAAACTTGGAGAGCATGATGTCAAGCAAAGCGCAGAAACAATTTTGCAGCAGCATGGAGAAAGGAGAGAACGGGTTCAGGAAATGGCAATGTACTACCAGCTGCCATCTTGACAAGAGCCGTTTAGTGGAAGAACGGTCGAAAGCCATACAGAATGTACTTGAAGTGAATGCACGTGTAGAGACTACAACATATTTACGATGCTGAGACATGAAAAATAGCTGAGAAACAGACGGTAAGTCAAAAGGACATGCGGTCAAGCCTGGCTTGCATTTTACTATAACAATGAAGAAATGATCCACTACGGAGGAAGATGACTTGAGCTGGAGCAGAAAAGCAATGGAGCAAAGCCCTTGAGAAGGGAAGTGGGTAAGAGAAGACTATTAAAAAAGGAGAAGTAATTTAACTTAACCTAAAAAGACATGATTCAGCAGCAACAATCTTTATAAGAAGTTAGATCACACCATTTTAGTTTAATGGATTACTTACAATTTTTATCTTTATGGTTCAGTTATGAGGCTTTGACTACCATTATGAATCTGACTATTTACTACACTGGCCCAGTGATGACTTTGATGACTTTGCTGATCTCAGAATAGGTGTGAAAACTTTTGTTCTTATCTGAAATGGCCATGGACTGCTATGTTTCTGTTTTCCTTCCTGCCTCTTCTCTCACTGAAATCTACATGAAATCTGCATTATGGCTAAAATCTCCCAGAATAAGTACTTCAATAGGAGTCTTCAAGCTCACCTGAGGTTTTAAGAGGAAACCTATACTCAAAAGCATCACACACTGTAAGTTCAGAAGCTCGGGCTACTGACAGCTCTGTGGAAAGCACGTGGGGGGTTAGGGAAATGGTTCAGTTGGTAAAGTGCCTGCCATGCAAGTGTTTAAATCTTCTAATGTCTGCTATTTAGAGTAAGCAACAGAATTTAACATTTCCAAGTTTAAGAGAAACATAAATACTTCACCAATAAAAGCACATTCAGCTAGAAAATTAAATTGAAAAACAAAATGATTTATTTTGAAACACAGTTAAAGATTGAAGAATTCTAGCAATTCAATTAGATATAGGAGCAAATACATAAACATATTCAATTTCACAGATATAAAAATATGAATTAAACAAATACTATTAATTTTTCATTAAAGAGATAATTTTAAGTAAATTATATTAGTGGGAGCTATTTAGCACATGGAGAAACAGATATTCTTCATTCATTTTTGAGGCATTGAGAGCACAAAAACTATTTGTGTATGTGTGTATGTGTCCATGTGCATGTGTAGGTGTGTGTGTAGACCAGAGATCTACGTCAGGTGTCTTTTTTTTTTTTTTTTGGTTTTTTGAGACAGGGTTTCTCTGTGTAGCTTTGCGCCTTTTCCTGGATCTCGCTCTGTAGACCAGGTTGGCCTCGAACTCACAACGATCCACCTGCCTCTGCCTCCCGAGTGCTGGGATTAAAGGCGTGCGCCACCACCGCCCGGCCAAGTGTCTTTTTCAACTTCTCTCTACCTTATTTTCTGAGACATGATCTCTCACTAAACGAGGAGCTCAGCAATTTGATTGGGTTGGCTGGACAGCACCCCCAGCAATCCTCCTGCTCTGCCTCCACAGCACTGGGATTTCAGCTGGGTACTACCCTGTCTTGCTTTACATGGTGCTGGGAGTTCAAATGCAGGCCTTTAAGCTTACACTTTACTGACTGAGCAATTCCCTAGCCACAAAACTATTTTCTAAAAAGAAGTAAGTCAAGCATTATAAATTTTGTAGAAATTTATAGAAATTTATTTCACAAAATATTTGTGAGAAATTTATTAAATTAAATATTTGTAGAAATTTATTTCACAAAAATAATTATAGGATTAAAAAAATAGAGGTTCAATGATAGAAATATACTGTTAAAAATGTGATACAAAAATAATCTAACAAAAATTCCCATTCCAGGTCAGGGTTCTCCAAGAGATTGACTCCCAAAACATTACAGGCTATAGATTGCCCCTTCTGAGGTGGAAGGTCACTATTGCTAAAGACACCATGCACTTCAGATGCAGGGCCCAGATGTCCCTGAGCTGGAACTGACCTGAAGACCTACTCTGATGACTAGCTTTCATGGAACCAGAAGGTTACATGCAAGTTCCCAAAGTAGGGGAAAAAACCAACAGTCCTTCCCCGCTATAATGCCTATGAACCACACTGCCTAGCACAGTCCTTCCCCGCTATAATGCCTATGAAACACACTGCCTAGCATAGCACTATAACCTTAAGGGTACAGCAGTGGGACACAGACCTTGGCAGTAGCCAACAGCTCTCTACTTAGACTTCAGACCCACTCAACAAGAGGAAGATCATACCTGGAATTGGAAACCTAGCCAATTACTCATGGCTAGTGAAGTCATGGATCTTGGAGAAGAATCTACAACCTCCACTTTACTAACCCAGGATAATTTCTATCTAACTATATTCTAAATGTCTCTCCTGATACTCAAAGAGTGTAAGTATAGTCCTTACTTTCCATCAAGGAAGCTTCTCTTTGCAACAGAACAAGACCAACACAGAAAACCACAACCAACCACAGTGCAGAGTTCTGGAGCCCTGTTTCAATGGATACACCTACAACACAACTCCTTCAGCTAATGCTCAGAGAACATTGCAGAAGAAGGGGCAGAAAAGGTGTAAGAGCCAGAGGATCAGGGAGTTTGTTCTAAGATAGTATCTCCTAGTAATAACGTTAGAAGCTACACCCATAAAGTCTTACCACTATGATAGCCTAAACATGAGCTGAACAAGGACAACAACAGGTATGGCAAAGCCCACTCTGCCTCATCAACCTTACACAAAGAACTACAGGCAACTAAGGAATACTGAGAGTGAGATAAATAGTCTTCACCAGGGAAGAGCACACCGATTAGTGATTCAGGACCAAATGGTTAGCCCTGAAACATACATATAAGTAACAGACAGATGGAGCAGGCTATACTATGGAATATATATGCATATACATATATGCATGTTAACAACAATTAATGGAAAAAGAGGTCACGAATTTGAACTAAAGCAAGGAGGGGTATAGGGGAGGGTATGGGAGAAGGAAAAGGAAGGAGAAAATGATAGAACAAATAATAAAAATGATATAGCAACTTAATGCAGTATTTGGTCATTCAAGATAATGAAGGAATATTTAATAAAATGACTTATTTTTTAATAATATTAAAACAATATTTGTAATACTGTAATATATACAATAAAATAACTACACAAACAATATACATGACATATTTTGGTTGGTATGCATATATAAAAATTACATATAAGTAAAGTAGGTGAATGACTTTACTAAGCCAGAGGAGAGCTTTGCAGGGAAGCAGGCAGGGAAACTAAGAGAATCCAGATGGAAGCTGTCTCTACTCTGCACCACATAGTCCTATTTGTAAAATAAAGCTGCCCATAAAAGAGTGAAAACCACAAGGGCCACCACCGTGGCATACAGGAGTCCAAGGAACTATCAGGAAGGGACTTATACTTCTCTCCCTGCCCCTCAACAGAATCACAGGAACACCAAGGCTGCAGAAACCAGCCACATTCTTTCACTTGAGGTATCTGTGTGTTGATGTGGGACCTGGATGTGGTAACACTGAATAGGTAGTTGGGAAAACAATTCCTCAGACCAGCAACTCTGAGTGCCTGCTATAAACTCTGTCTTATTCCCCAAGTAGGATGTTTATTGGGAGAGCAACCATAGCTCCATAGCTGTTTGTTAGTACCACTAAAAAGAACTCTAGCCAATAAAATAGGGGCTTTTGGCTGCTTTTGTGTGTGTGTTTGTACTTGTCTGGATTTTGAATCTATGAAAACCCAGCACTGGCAATCAAGCCATGCTATCAGTGGAGAGAACACTATCCATCCAAGATCACACTTACCTTTGGGTTGTTTGCATCAAACAGACCCGTCGAAAGCCCAATCAGTAAGGAATTCTTGGTTCTAGTTTTTGGCGGTGAATCAGAGCGAGATCGAAGGGAAGTTGATTCTTCTGGTGAACAATGAATTGACTGAACTGAGCTCATGTGCTCAGATTGAACCACTTTCTGGAAAAACGGTTCTGGTTGTACTGACTTCTCTACATCACATCCAGACTGCCGAGAATCATCTACTGCAGGTTCTGTGGAATAAAAAGAGATCATATCATAAATCTATATAATAGCACTTAAAATTCTGAAAATATCAACAAGTATCATAAAATATTTAACACAAATCCCACCCAACAGGCTGGAGAGATGGCTTAGTGTTAAAGCACTTGCTGTTCTTGCAGGGGACCTGGGTTTGGCTCCCAGGACGCACATAGCAGCTCATAACCATGTAACTACAGTTCCAGGGAATCTAACATGCTCTTCTGGCTTCTGTAGGTACCAAGACTACACGTGGAACAAATATTATTTACATGCAGGCAAAACACTCAGACATATACAATATTTTTTAATTAAAAAATGAATTCCATAAAAAAATTCATACCAGGAAAATAAAATTAAGGTATACATATAAGTATACTGTATACTATCTTATAAATAATTTTTAAGGAGATATAATGTTTACTTTAATGATTTTTTTTTTTGTTTTTTTGTTTTTTTGTTTTTCGAGACAGGGTTTCTCTGTGTAGCTTTGCGCCTTTCCTGGGACTCACTTGGTAGCCTAGGCTGGCCTCGAACTCACAGAGATCCGCCTGGCTCTGCCTCCCAAGTGCTGGGATTAAAGGCGTGCACCACCACCGCCCCGCTTACTTTAATGATTTAATTTAATATATATTTTCATTATATTGGAAGTTTTAAAATATAGAAATTTAAAGAAACATAAAAAATATAGTTTAGAAAATCAATTTTTCAGTTTGTCTCTATAAAATAAAAAAATTGTTTATATTGTTTTATATTTTAACCAATAGTATTTTAAAAAGAAACAAGTTTATTCAGTGCCCTTAGCATACTGGTTTTGTTTTAGCAATAAGTCTTTTCATTTTCAACAATATAACTGAAAAGTTAACTGCTTATATTACCACAATACCGGGCTGGCTATTACAGGTTCCTGTTCTCTAGGCCTATTTTTAAAATAGAATTATGGTGACTTATAAGAAATGCTCTTAAATATGGGGCCCAAATTAGACAGGCTGGTGTTAAGAAGCCTTCCAGAAAGAATTCGACTAATACAGTGGAGCTTACCTATATGATCCTCACAAGACTGGTCCACGTTCCCCCTAATTCTATCTTCACAAACTTCACTCTGCTGCGTGGCAACATTATCTTCCAATCTGCCACAGACAGGAAAACCAAACAAAATAAACAAATGCCACAGTTCATTACAAAGAAAAGTCCCCTTATGTAAAGAAAATGAAACCCACGTCTACTAGCATCCTGAACTCCCTTGTCCACGTATTTTTCTAATTTTCATATAATCCTTTCTCTTGTAAGCACAGTATGTTTTCTACTTCTTACCCAATTATTAATCATTAGTTTATTCATTCACTCATTCATTCAGAAAGCTTATATTGGTCAAATCTCTGAAGAATGACTAAATTACAAACAATTTATCTAAAAATTACACCTGTTTCAAAAAATACACACCTACTTTTGCAAAAATACTTGATGTAAAATATTACTCATTGCAGCATCACAACATACAGTATTAATAAATACTCATCAAGCAGTAGGTTATTGAGTTGTCTTATATCCATATAATAGAATATAGGATAGAGAACGTTCACATATTAATGTGAGATTTCTCAAACTACAAACTTTTTAAAAAGTATTTATTTTATATGTATGTATGTGTGTGCTTCACATGTGCATAAGAGTCCTTGAAGGGCAGAAGAGGGCATCAGATGCCCTACATCTAGAGTTACAGGGGTCTGAGTTGGCATGTATGTGCTGGGAACCAAACCCAGGTCTTCTGCGAGAACAGTAAGCCCTCTTTAACTGCTCAGTCATCTTCCCTGGCCCCAAGACTACTGGCTTGTATAAAAACAAAGTGAGCATGGAGAGATGGCTCAGTGGCTAAGAGCACTTGCTCTTTCATGAGGACCAGAGTTTGGATCCTAGCGCACACATACAAGCCATCTCATAAATACTACAGGTCCAACTCCCAAGGGACCCAATGTACCTTCGTGCCTCCATATAGTACTTGTGCACACACATGTAAGCATACACTTGCAAAGACACACAAACAAAATTTAAAAAAAAAACAAAAAGGCAGGAAGCATTGTCTATATTAGCAACTGCATTTGGAATGGGATGAAGACTGTAGTTTGCTTATACATACTAAAAATTATCTGCAAAGAAAGATCAGAAATTGGTGGAATGGAAATATAGGCTGGCAAGACATTTATTGTTTATCTTCATATAGTTTTTGATTTCTTACCCATGTTAATACCTATTAAGAAATCAAATGACTTTCTAGGGCATTACAATATGAAGTTATTAAACTAGAGTGTTAGTTTATTCCAGCATTACTTATTAAAGAGCTTACTAAAGGACTTGGCTTTGAAAAGGAAAGGAAGGGACAACATACTCAGTCTCCTTAGCTGCTTCTTTCTCACTAATCCACACGTCATTAACCACATGGGACAAACTCCCATCTGGGTCTGTGCTACTTGGCTCTTGTAGAACTTCCGTTTCCAAATCATCAGGATCTTCAAAGCAAAATCAGGAGATGTCAGAGGAAAGTTTGCCGAGAATGGACTGAATGAACTTTCTATACGTTATCACTGCAATTAGTTTAACTAATGCTAATTATATAAAAATCAACTGTTTCAAGCTTTTTGTTCTAGTTCTATAGCATAGTCATTTCTGAAATGAAAGACTAGTTCTTTCACCTTTTGTTATAACAAAAATACTGTGTACTGTGCACAATACTCCTCATCATTATATAAAATATATGTTCAATTAAAATTATAGTAATATGTAAATTCACTTGAAGGTATGAAAACTAAAGAATAAAGACACCTGTTATTACAAGTATGGGAAAATAGCCTGTATTATTAATGAATAGTAAGAAAACTTTAATCTTTAAAATCTATCTTCCAACGACCACAAAAGAAAACCAATACGATTACCTGGACTTTCACAATGGCCTCGAGAAGAACTAGAGTATGCTAAATCAATTTGTCCATACTCTCAAATAATTCATAGTTAGGGAACTATCTCTGTTTCTCTGGCAGTCTTTAAAGTGATTCTATTTACTCATTTGCTTATTTATTATTATGTGCATGTATAGGTCTGCATGAGTGGATGCATATATGCAAGGTGTGTGTGTGAATATGTGCAGAGGCTACAGGTGAAGTCAGGAGCGCTTGCAGGACGGCAGACATGTTGTGTGGCTGCATGACTGCGCAGCAAGTGCTTAACTGCTGAGCCCTCTCTCCAGCCCCATTGAGGTGTCTCTTGTTCCTGTCTGAGATCATATACTAGCTTACTTAATTCAACACCATGTCCACTTTTTCATGGAATCAGACATGCTTTTCTTGTCTGTTTTAAAATTTCTAATGATCTGTCCCATTGTGAAAGACAAGAGACATACAAATTCTAATAATTTTTATCTGTTGCTAACATGAATGTTTGGGTCATTCATACAAGGTAAGTGCTAAGGAGGAAGAACCTTTTTTATTTCGTTTTTTGATCTGTAATTCTGTTCTTGTTAAATGGGGATGAGGAGGTGGCAAATGGGTTGGTTGTTTCTAGAAAGAAGCTGATACCACTCTTCCTTTGGGATGAGTTGTATTGGGAGAGAAGGCCTCAAGATAATGGGAAACACGATCGTGCTTTGAGGTAGGGAAGTATTAAAAAGGAACAGCACCTTCTATCAGACAACAGGAAGAAGGGGGCCTTATGGAGGAGAGCTTTCCCTGTAGAACCTAGAAAGGAGTTTCCATAAGAGGTACAGCTTAAAGTAAGAGGGAGACAGCTGTCATGGACAGGATGGCAGGCGGGGGTCAACTTTGGGGAAATCCTCCAAACAAAGGAAAATATATGACTTTTTTATCCTTTCAGGGGCTGGTATCACATGATTTTTTGTTCAACATAGCCCACTGACAGGGAGCACAGAGGAGCCAGGTACAGTGCAGCACTGTAAATCAGGGGTGGTAAAACCACAGGACAGACGGCTTCTTAATTAACTCTCTGTCCCAGAGAGAGAACTGCAGAGGAGCAAGACCTGGTTTCTTCAGGCTGTGGGCTGGACTGCTTAGAGAGATCCGCTTCTTAAAGGGGCAGGTCAGAGACCTAACAATTCCCTAGTGATCTTCAGCTGTATTAAAACCAACGCATTCCATCCTATAGACTCAAATTGTGACCATGCTTTTCACAAAGCCTAAAATATTTACTCTACAACTCTCTGCAGGAATCGCTAAGTTCGCCAACCTCCAAACTAGGCCATACAGTCTCCACTATATGCATACACATCCTACTAGTTGACTTTATTTCTTCTTAAATTTTCTACTCTTTTTAAGAAGGGCACAACATGCTGTCTTGTTTAGGCTACAATAATGAATATTTGAACAGAAATTTATTTCCTTTTGCTCCAGAGGTCAGAGAATCTAGCATCAGGATGGCAGCACTGGTCAGTTCTGGAGAAAGGTTTTCTTCCAGGTACACTGGCAGCCTTTTTCTTCCTGTATTTCTAGCATGGTATAAAACAAAAGGCTAGCTCTCCAGCCTCTTGTCAGAAGGATGTTAATGCCATTCATGAGACTTCACTGTAATTCAAAACTTAATTACTTCCAATACCAACAGGCATGCCTTTAATCCCAGCACTTGGGAGGCAGAGTCAGGCGGATCTCTGTGAGTTCGAGGCCAGCCTGGGCTACCAAGTGAGTTCCAGGAAAGGCGCAAAGCTACACAGGAGAAACCCTGTTTCGAGAAAAAAAAAAAAAAAAAAGAAAGAAAGAAAGAAAAGAAAATTGGCAGCCTCTGGTTGGTATCTGGAAGTCAAAGCATCACAAAAAAAGTTTATTTAGTTCAGTAAAGCTCCATGGCAATTTTTTGAGACTAAAATGTCAATCTGTATGTGAAAGGAATATAGTTAATTTTTAGTTAATGAGCAAACTGGTGGGTTAAAGATGGTTGCAGATTCTTTAACACTCTTCCCTTTGAGAGGCAGGCCTAGTTTTCTACCTTGAATTGACTCTGGGTTTGTGACAGCTCTGACCAATAGAAGTGCTAACGGTCCCAGTTCAGTTCTCTGGTTAACTTGAAACAACATAAGCGACTTTTACCATAGCACCTGAGATGGCTGTGGATTCTGTACAACTTGTCCCTCTCCGAGCTGAAGCCTACGTCCCTCACCTCAGAACCTCCACCAGAGCATGACTCACATAAGATGGGAAACAGTGCTGGAGAGACGGCGTAACAGTTCACAGCACTGGCTGTTTCCAGAGGACCCAGGTCCAGTTCCCAGCACCCACACGGTGACTCACAACCACCTCACACTTCAGTTGTATCACCGTCTTCTGGCTTAGCAGGCCCCAGACACACATGCAGGCCAAACACCTACATCCATAAAGTAAGAAAAGCTTTTTAAAAAAAGGTAGAAGAATCCAGAACGGGACAGGCTCCTTAATAGGGGAGAGGGGACTATCTCACTCAGCCTTTGAGGTGTACCGTCCAAGATGGCAGAAAAGCCATCAGGTAGTCTCACCGACAGCTGAGTGTCACACCACCTGATCTCTTAGGCAAAGACATGATGTATTAGGAAAATCACAAGCCCAGTCTTGACTCAATCCCTGATCCATAAAATAATGGACTAGAATGGCCAGTCACTAGTGCACATGGTTGTATGTGCCTGTAGCTCTAGAACAGCAGCAGCAAGAGTGGGACTCTGAGTTCTAGGAGACCAGCCTGACCCACATAATGAAACTCTTGAAGACTCTTGGTCTTGAAAACCAAAACGGGAAGAAAAAAAGAGACAGTTACTAAAAACAGCAAGCCTAATTTGAGATGAATTACTCAAACATACACACACATTTTGATGATTTCTTTGATAATTTCAGTATCAAACAAAATTGATCTCATTTGAATGCATTTCAACATACCTTCCACATTTCCATCCAACACTGGTGGAGGCATCTCACTAAACTTTGGGCTTTTTGTTTCAATAGAATCAACAGTAGCTGATGGGTTTATTTCTTTTGAAATACATTCTGGTTTCTCTTCTCCAGTGAGTAAGGGTTTGTAGTTTTCCCCTTCAGGATGAATCTCTGTAGAAGCAAAACAATGAAAAGTCTACTCTTCTCAAAGGGTTTTGAAGTTACTTGCAATGACAGTTAGAGAAAAAAACAAAAAGAAAAACAAAAACCTAGATTGCTGCAACAGGTGGTTACTGGTGAAGCTCTCTTACACACTAAAAACTAATAAATGAGTTAAGATAATGTAACAGCCAAATTTCATTTCATAATGACTTCCAGGGTGGTTAACAATTTGCATTCTTTTCCTTTGGGGGAAAAATTAACACACCTGTATCAGAATCGAATTTTTAAAATTATTAACCAACTTTTTCAATTATGTTTTTCATATAGCTTTGTTTTTCATATGTAGTTTTCCCTATAATATTTACTTCTAATTTGCTACAAACTCTGCACACTGTAGCTGTTTCCACGAAAGAACAGATTTATCATAGAACAATTGACTGTAGTTATCTACTCTCATCATCCCTGTGTTGAACATTTATACCAGCCAGTGTACTAACTCCCCCAAATCAATTTTGTCATAGGTAGATGATTTTATATATACAATAAATAATCCTGCTAATATAGAGACCTCTGAATTACACTATTAACTCAGCTTTTCAATAAGTCATATATTAGAGACCTTATAAATTATTATGGCTCCTCAAAAACTCCAATTTTAGGAATTCCCATCTCTAATTTTTAGTGCTGTTTTTATTCATCTCCCTCTACTATAGCTTTTATAGACTAGGTCTCTAATGTAGCCCTTGCTGGCCTGGAATTCCCTATGCAGATCAGGCTGGCCTTGAACTCAGAGAGTGCTGGGATTAAAGGCGTGGACCATCTTACGTGGCCCTCTTCTAGCTTTGTAAAAATTTGATTTTTCATAGATTTGGAGGAAAAAGGGGAGGGTATATTGGGAAGGCTTGAAGGGAGAAAAACAGGGAGGGGGAAATATTGTAATTATAATCTCAAAAAAGTTTGATTTTGCAAGTACGTGTAATGACTGACCCTGTCACACTTTCTCCATCATCCCCACTTACATCCTTCTAAAAGTCATCATTAGAATTATTCCTTTGAATACACCCTCACCTCATTGAACTCACTTCATTGTACCCAAGTGGAAAACCCTAAATACACTCAATTTCCTCACATGCCTGGCTGACATGATTGGAGAAAAATAGAAATCAATGTCAAGTGACCTCTATCTCAATTCATTACTTCTTTTTTATGGTTTAGATATAGATGGTTGAAGTGTCCTCTGAAGGTACTCGTTTCTGAGTGTGGCGATGTGAAAGTGGTAAGACCTTGAAATGGGAAGTCAGAGAGGACACTGTTCACCCTTAGTAAGAACTAACAACTCCTCTTGACTGTTAGTAACGTGCACAGGCTCTTTTCATAGTCTATTTCTCAGCATCTAGCTGACACTACAGAATATGTCAATCAACATCCTCATGTCCTAAGTCCATTTTTCATATGTGTTAGATATGAGTTTACACTAAACCTCGAGGAGCAACAGAGAGAAAAGAACGCAAAAGGTAACACACATGCCTAGGCACTGCTCCTGTCTGGACACAGTCCCATCCACTCCCTGTCTGTGAACAAGCTGTCCAGTGGGAAGGCTTCTGATACACAGTTGCTCTTCCTCAGGTGCTGCTACAACACTCAAACACCTAAGATTCAGAGATCCAGAATCCTTCCTTTCTGTCTTGGGCCAGCACTGCCTCCCAGTCCCAGGATGATGTTACACATACTTACATTTCTTCTCCTCAATTTAATTCCTACATCTCTTCAAAGATACACCATGCATCTTAATTGTTTCAACATTTTCCCCGCACAGAAAACCTGCTTGAACTTTTGCAGCTCCCTCATCCAGATTTCCTATTCTTTAGATTTCATCCAGGTTTGATGGGGTCAGAACTCATTCCCATTTACAACAGCCAACCCCCAGAAGGTAAAATAATTCCACACAAGAGAATGGAGACATCTTAGCCCACTAACTTTTGGTAGTATTCCTTCTTGTGCTTACCACTTTCAAAGGCCGTGTTCTCTAGCAGTCCTGTCTGGGGCTGGAGCTCAGCCTCTCCTAGCATCCTCAGCACAGAATCCGCAGGGCTTTTGCCCCAGACTTTTCTTGGAGAGCCATTAGAGTCTAACTTAATCACCTCTCCCACAGGATGTTCTGTGAGGAAAGAAATACAGAGAAATAATTTTCAAAGATGGGATAATTCATTGTTTGGTAGGTTCAATTTCTATTACCCAACCAACTGTTTCATGCTAAAAGCTACTATAAAAATAAATCACAAGACAAATATACATACAGGCTAAAAGGTAGAAAACAGTCTAAGAAAACTCTGCCTGTATTTGAGCTTATATCATAAGCAAACAACTAATACTTCCTTTTTTACAAATAATTCTGGATAAATAATTTAAATAAAATTTAGAAAAGCAAAAATATTAGAGTTAAGTCATTAGAATATTTGGTAATAAAACATAGGGACATGGCTCAGCGATGAAGAGCACTCGCTGCCCATCCAGAGGACCCAGGTTCACTTCCTAGCACCCACAGGGTAGTTCACAAACATCCATAACTCCAAGTCAGTGGATCTGATGTCCTCTTCCAGCCTCTGCAGACAGTAGGTACCAACTGATGCACAGACATACTATACATCCAGGCAAAACACCCATACGCATAAAATAAATAAAAATAAGATTAATATGCTTAAGAGTAATACATATGATACATTACATGGTGTATGTTAATATGGTCTTAGAATTTTAGCCTATATAAGTTTTTGTTTTTTTTTTTTTAAAAACTATGATGTTTAATCTTGGTTGTCAACTTAACTAGACCTGGAATCAGCTGAAAGTCAGGTCACGGGGGCACACTTGTAAAGGTTATTTGAAGTGGGAAGATGTACCCAGTGTGGGCCGCCCCTTCTGGTGACAGACCAGACAGAAGGAGGTCCACGAAGCTTGCCTTTTTGCCTGCTTGCCTTCACTCTCTTGGCAAGCTCCTCTCCTCTGCTGTCGCTGCTGCTACTTTTCCTGCACTCTTTCATGGACTCCAGAACCCAGCTTCTTTGGACTTCCAATATCAACTACAGACATGTGCCTCTCCAGAAAGCCTCCAGATATTTCATGCCAGACTGGGACTGTTGAAGCCTCCAGCCAAATGGGATGAGCAGCTACTGGATTTTTGGCCTCTCAGGTGTGAGCTGGCCATTTTTGGAAGACCCTAATTGTGTCATGTAAGCCAATCTAACAAACCCTCTTGTAATTCAATTCACTCTATAGGTTCTGTACCTCTACAGAACCTTGGCTAAGATACTGCTGGAAAGATGCTTTATTAGGACTAGGGTGTAGCAGAAAGAGGAACAGCAAACAGAGTCCAAGTTACAAAAACTCATGCAAATCAGTAAGTAATATTCAGTTTTGTACCACCGACATGATTAGCATGAGGGACTTAAGTTTCAGAAGCCTGGCTGAGGTAAAGAGACACGAAAGCGAAAGAGGATATAAATCTACTTGTTTGTAATTTGTATAACTGAATCTTTGTAATGAAATTTTTTTTCTGGTGGATAAGTATAAATAAATATAACTGATAAGTGGAAGTGTAACATCCCATGTGAAGTCCCACAGCTTTAGAATGGCTGGCTGTTCTAACCGTAGAGAAGTTAGTTGAGATGTACAGACTTTGGGTCGAACTAATTTCGCTATATGATGTTTTTATTTGCAAGTTCTTTATAATCAACTTTCAATTTAAAGAGGTGGTGAACTTGGAATTAAGTTTTGAATCTGGAAACAACTTTTCTGCAAGAACAGCCAGCCTCAATCTTAGGGTTTCAAGCACTGAAGTCAAAGAATCTTTGATACAGAGCTATCTGTTAAAGTCTAACGTCACTGGCGGGGGTGGGGGGGGAGTGGTTAGAACAGTATAGATTTAAAAAAACAGGAGTAAAACTTGGAAAGTAAAATTATTTGATATCTGATAAAAAGGGCCAAGCAATACAACAGAAAAGAAAATTTCTGGAACAAATAAAAATGGAAAAACTGAATGGCCATTTTAAAAAAATCAGTCCCTTTAAAGCATGGGAAGAAAAACTGCTGGGTTTGTGGCCAGTCTGAGCTGAAGAGATGGAACTTGGAGCCTAAGGGAACAGAATGGCTAGTATCTGATATACACAGAGAAAGTCAGACTTCACAATGCTGCTGCACGTCATTAGTGGATCACCAGTCTGCACATCATGTGTAAGGAAATCACTGCAGGCTCGAGAGGAGACCACCCAAAAGGAGGTGGAGGAGGAAGACTTGGGGTTCACAAAGAGCCAGAAATAGTTCCTATCTCCGTCAGCGAGAACAGGGATACTTGTAGTTCACAAGCCATTAGGCAGATTGTTCAGAAAGGTTGTTGACTCAGTAAAGGGGAAAGATTAGCCATAGACTAAACACTGCTTTATTCCACTTCACAGAGCTTAGGAAGAAGGCCTAAAAGGATCAAGATATTCATAACTAACTAAACTGTATCCCAGAACAAGGCGCAAGTATAGTTATAGAAATATAAAAAAATACATGAACTCCACAAATTAAAATTCAGGGTTTTGCCCCTAAGCAAAAATAATCAACCACAATATGGCCAACCAATCATAACTAATGTCCAAATGACAGAGATGATGAGATTATCACTGAAGAAGGCCATTTATAGTGATTATTATAGCTGAGTTCCGGCCATGGGGGTGACAGTAAGAAAAGTTGGGCTGGTATGTAGTCCTGCTGTAGAGGACTTGCCTAGCATGCAGAGACTCTGGGTTTGAACCATCACCAAAAGAAGGAAAAAAAACAGATTGGTGCTAGACTTGTAGGAGGGAAGACCAAAAGAAAACAGGAAAAATAATGGCTAAGAATTTCCCCAAACTGGTGACAGCTATGACTCACAAATCCAAGAAACACTAGCAAAAGGATGTGACAACAAGGTGTGTCACCACCAAATTCACTGAAACCAGGGCTTCAGGAAAACGTCTAAGAAGCAGCAAGAGGACAATGGCACACTGCATCCAGAGGAACGGCTGAGACTAAGTTACAGATGACTTCCCGTTGTGAGCAGTGTAAACTAAATAGTGGAGCAGTGTGTTAAAGTAGGAAAGAAAAAAGTATCAGCCTAGAAGTTCACAGCTCATTAACAAATATTTGCTGAAGGCAGTCATAATAAACTTTTACAGACATATACAAGTTGAAAGAACTTGACGTTAGTGATATTATAGCACAGCTTATATCTTAAAGGGGCTCCAACATGCAGAGGAAACAGTGCCAGATGGAAATTTGCTCATCACAGAAGGGAAAGAGCACTAGAAATGGCAAATATGAAGTAGATACATAGAACCTTTTCACTTACTGCTTAAGTCTCCCTAAGAACTAATGACTAGAATAGATTATGAATTTTATACCATAAATACAAGCAAAGCAATTACCTCACCCACCGCAATAACAACACAAAGGTAGGAAGGGAATAAGTGCAAGACTGTTAAAATGCTGCTATAGGTTAAGTACTGAAATCAGTTGGAAATAGATTTCATAAGAGTATATACTGTTAACTCTAAATCAAATCCTGAGTTTTCAGAGTAATGAACTGTAGCTAAGAAAGCAAGAGGAAATAGAGAAAAATATCACAGATGAAAAAACAGAAAATAAAGCAAAGTGGTATATTTAAATTATGTAGAACGTAAATAGTATAAAATACTAATTAGGTGTTATGAGTGGATTAAAAAAAGCAAACCCACATTCAATATAAATGCATAGACAGGCTGAGTATGGGAAAGAGACAGATACCAATTTAGCATTGAGCAAAAGAATGTAGAAATGACTACACCAATAAAGAATTCTTTATAATAAAAAATTAAAAATCACAACACAGATGCCTCTCAAAAAGCCTAAGTCAAAGAAGCCAGAAACAAAAGAACGCAAAGCTCTTAGGGTTGGCTCCCATGGCATTCTAGAAGCAGAATGACTACTCTAAGGTGGGGAAATTTCAGACAAAGTAGTCTCTGGAAGACAAAGGTCAAAGTCTGATTGAGGAAGGCCTGTGACACTTCTTGGGATGATGGTGATGCTCTATGTACTATTAGTAGTTAAGAGTAAGTAGGTCCACGCATTTGCTGGAACTCAGCAAATGTACAGTTACAGTGTGTACATATCATTATCCATAAGTAACACAAAAGGAGAAATAACTTCTAAATAAATACTGAATTCCGATGATGACTCTATGCTGTGAGAAACGTACAGGAAAGTATACAAATGTCTGTAGTTAGTACTCTGAGTCATGTCAAAAATGAGACTGATGAATAGAGCATAGATATTGACAATGAACAGTAAAGTACTAATGATATAATGTAAATGGATAGTTTATGACAGCCACTGTAAAATTCTTTAAATTTTTCTACACATTTGAAATTTCTCATAATGAAATTCTAGGAACTTAAGTACGACAGTACAATGGGATATTATAACAACATAAATGAAGAGAATTTTAATGTACTACTATAATAAGGTCCATAAAACACACTTACAGTCTAGAATAAAAATAATAAAAACTGCACATGATAAATAATGCAAAATATCCAAACAACAAGCTAGTGTGAGCAATTGCCTGGTAACAGGAAGAACTGCCTCTCATGTTCGCTAGAGATAGGCCTATATGATCACTCGAGATTCTAGGAAACTACTGCCCCAGGTCTAAAGCAGAAGCAGAACTGACCACCCAGTCCTGGTGTTTTTGGTTTACTTGTGACCAGTCTTCCTTACTTTCTTAAGAAATAGGACAAGCTGAGCATGGTGGTATACACCTGGAACCCCAGGACTCAGAAGTTCTGAGATAGGAGCTCCTTGGTGAGTTCCATGTCAGACAGGTCTATATAACCCTGTCCAAAACAAACAACCAACCAACCAACCAAACAAACGACAAAATAAATTCCTTACAAAATCAATTTCCAGGAAGCTTATGTGTATTTCTCACCTTTGCCCCCTACCCAGTCTTTCCTACTGGCAGTGGTCTATTACTCCAGAGCAGTGGTTCTCAACCTTTCTAATGCTGCAAGTAACCTTTTAATACCCCATGTTCTGATGACCCCCAAACATAAAATTATTTCTGCTGCTTCTTCATAGCTGTAATTTTGCTACTGTTATGAA